GGTGGTGGAGGGGTATATTTTTACCAATAAAAGACTCATCCCGATTAAAAAGCCAACACTTGGAAATGAGGACAAAAATTCTGCAATTCAGTGTTTCAAAAAGTACTAGGGAAAACCTGTTGAGGCTTACTCCTGATATTTATTTTCCTTACCAAGTATAAACATAGTTTTACAAGCTGAGAGATTATTTTCACCTAAATAAAAGCTCTAGAAAGCCACAGTGTCTTTTCTGGCCATTCCTCCCTTTCTCCACTCTGATTAGCCAGATGTCCATATTTAGTCCAGCATATGCCCCCACCTAAGAATCATATCATCCATAAATGATTACTTCCATTGCGCTCTGTTTTATACTCTAACAGGCTTTGAGACACGGAAGATTATAGAGTAAGATGGAAATACAATACCTTGAGCTGGGGAGTTCAGAGTGTACAGCAGATGTTTAACAGATTTATGGAGAGTTCTGAAACCTTCGTTAGTTGTGAGACGTGGAAAAACCTTCTGCACGACCAGCAGCGCACTAACAAGTAGAAAAACAATTAAGCCAAATCGCATTTCGGGGTTTGCAGGCAGAAACAAAAGGTTATTCAAGGAGAAAATGTCTGCAGCAGAGAAAATGTTCTTATAACAGAAAAAAAAAAGACAAGATGGCGCTTTTGTTGTTAAATTACATGTTTGTCTCTTCATGCATAAAATCCCAACAAAATTTTCATAAATTAGAGCATGTTTCCAGGATTTAAAGGCCTGAGCCTAAAAGTGAGGGAGCAGAGTTCACATCCGTTGTTTCAATTAAGATTTAAAGGTAAGTGAGTAGGAATGGTTACTTCCAATGAAAGGATATCACTTTTTTTAAGTAAAGGAAAATTTTAAATATTGAAGATTATTTTCATGAAAAATCACACCCTGAAAAAAGGATAATTATTATTTAAGCACTTGAGAAATATTTACCTCTTGCTAACTAAATGGTAATGTTTTTGGGGAAAAAAAATGGAGCTTGCCCTAATTAAAGGCTTCATTCTGCCCTCTAAGTAGCCCACAGGCACTCCTCCAGGGGCAGCTCAAAATTAATATCCAGACTAAATGGCACTGTCTCCCCAGGAGACATAATAATGTTACCAATAAGTTGGGCAGTCTGCATTGGAAATAGACAATCAGAAAATTCACTTATGCTTGACTTCATTCCATATTTCTTAAAAGCAATTAATTACTTAAACACAATCCCCTTTTTGTCATTAGATATTTTTAGCAATACTGGCATTGTACATGTATGTCTGAATTTCATAAATACTGTGATTTATATACCAATGATCAAAGCTAAGGCAATGCTTTAATTTACATGAGTAGTAACTAGAACACAGGCTCTGTTAACGATTTTCCATTGTAAAGTCAAATGTAGTACAAATTAGCTAATGGTTCTCCCCGTGCCTCTCAGTCAACTAAAGGCTTTCTCTAGCGGTAGATACCATATGTGCATATATGTTAATGGTTTTTACAATATTTTTTGAATTTTAATTATTTAAGATTATTTTAATTTTAGCTCCCTCGCTATGGATTAAAGCTATATTTAGAGTGCTAAATTTTGTATTTCCTCTAGTTTGTAGTATAACATTAGGATATACATATAGATAATGATGTATTTGTGTGTGTGTATGTATGTGTGTGTATATATATATATTTTTTTTTTTTCATTTAGTTCTGTACTAATTCCATAAAGTCAATTTTATTTGGCTTTTTGAAGATGGGACAATAAAAGTTGAAAAAGTTATATGACTTACACAGTTTTATCCAGTTAATAATAACTAGAGCTAGTTCTGTCTAATTTCAAAGTTTATGTTCTTTCCACTCTACATCTCACATCTGGAATAGAAACTTTGCCCCAATATGGGAAGGAGGGGGGCAGAGCATTTCTTAACAGAGTCCACAGGCATCGTTACCTCGTTATGCCAGCGGTGTGGTTGGCCATAGAGACGTGGCTCTATTCTTTTCATCTCTACTCTGTACACCTCAGGCATTTTTAGATTTGCCCAAGAATTTCCTGGTTCTCTGACTTTAGTTGTTTCTGAACACTGGTGACCATATAACCAGTTAAACAGTCTCAGATCCTAGATCTGCCAGCCTTCTCCCAACGAGACCTGCGGCCAGGCTTATCTGATCTGTTGTCCAAAGGAACACCTTTCAAAGACTAAATACTTGGCATTAGTACATTTTTATACCCATTAAAACTGTCAGCATTATTGTTATTAATACCATGAATAAAATATCAGTAGACTTAGTTTATCTTTATTTTACAAAATGTAAAATAATGACAACTGGCCCCATCTTCTCTAAAATCATTTGAACCATTGATCAGAATATTTTTATTTTAACATATATTTTTTTCTGCTGTTCATCATATAAAAATGAAAGTTGCCCAGAGCAAGTTGCCTCATAAATAAAGATATTTTTAGATAGTTTTTGTTATTCATATCTCACATAGCTTCTTCATAAGTGGTGAAAGTAATGGATATTTTTATATACCCTCTTGATTTTTTTATGATTGCTCATTTTTGCTAATTTCTGTCCTAACCTTAACATTATATCATCTGATTTTGGTGATTTGGTTATATGCCAACTTGAAAGTTAAAAAAAAAGTTGTTGGAGAAAATGATGAAAATTGTTATAGGGTTCATAGAATAAAATAAATCAATGACACTGTAATTTGGTGATAAAATGTAGTCATCTGTGAAAAAATTGTGGCTCTTAATGAGATTCACTGTAATAACAATAGTAAAGAAGAATTAACTTTAAAAAATGGTTCATGAAGGCTTTTTAAATAAATATAATATAAGCCACATATCCAATTTTAAATTTTCTAGTACTCACGTTAAAAAAGAAATTTCAGTAACGTATTTTATTTAACCCAGTACTTCTAAAATATATTATTTCAACTTTTAATCAATATGAAATTATTAATAAAACATTTTAAGTATTTTACTATACTAAGTCTTTAATATTCACCTTGTATTTTATACTTAAGGAGCATCTCAATTCAGGTGGTAAATTTTCATTTAAGAATACTTAATCTGTATTTTATTTATTTACTTATTTATTTATTATAGAGTAGGGAGATTTCATTACATTTACAGGTGAAAAAGTAGGTTCACATACCCACATTGTTCCAAACATACTAAAAGGTTTACCTTTAAACAAGTGTCAGTGTTTAAAATTTAAGTTAATTAAAGTTAAGTGAGGTTAAAAATTAATTTTCTAAGTCAAAAAACACTTATAGCTAGGACATATAATATTAAAACGAATGAATATTATTCTTTACCAATAATAAATAAATAAAATTGACCAGTTTAAAAAAGAAAGAGTTGTTCTGATTAGTTAGAAGTCTAATGTCATCTGCTTTAAAAATAACTTGAAGCTATTACTTTTAGCTACTTCTTTTTTCTTCTTTGTTACCATATAGATTGATTTACAACATTTTTAATCATCACTCTACTAACTCTATTGCATAATGCAATAATATACAATTTTATTTTGAATTTTAAGAGAATAAAAATAGCCATAGTGCAACGTCCTTTCTATGTACCACACGAAAGTAATAGAGTATTTTAATTAATTAATTAATTTGGAACTTCTACCTTCTACTGAATATTATTTTGTGAGATTTCTTATTTTTATTTTTTGTTTTTTAAGCAAATTTCATTGATGTATAATCGACATATAATATGATGTACCTAGGTTACAGTTCAGTAAGTTTTGCCAAATTTATATACTTACTAGAGGCCCAGTACACGAAATTTGGGCACTTAGTGGGGGGAAGGGGTCCCTCAGCCCAGCCTGCACCTTCTCACAGTCTGGGAGCCTTCGGGGATGTCTGACTGACATCTTATGCTCACTCTTTGGGAGGAGTGGGCCTAAGCCGGCAGTAAGACATCCTTAGTGCTGCTGTGGAGGTGGGAGAAGTTCCTGCCACCACTGTTGCACTTGCCAGCCATGAGCCTGGCTTCTGGCTGAGCGGTGCTCCCCCTGTGGGGTCGGGTCAAAACTGGCTCTCTGACATCCCCCAGGGGAGCCGGATTGTGAGAGGGCACAGGCCAGGCCAAGAGATCCCACTGGTGCACAATCGGGGCCTGGGAGAGATGTGGGAGGTTGGCCAGCTGGGGCCAGACCACGGAAAGGCTCCAGGGCATGTCCAGCCCATCTCGCTCAGCTGGCCCATCTGGCTCACCCACCAGACCCCAGCAATAAGCTAACCTACCGATCAGAGCATCTGTCCTCTGGTGGGCATGCATGTCATAGCAACGGGTTGACCAGTCAACTGTCTGCCCCCTGTTGGTCAGTACATGTCATAGCAAGTGGTTGAGCGGCCTTAGCATATCATTAGCATATTACGCTTTGATTTGAATGGCCGGACGGTCGACCAGACACTTTGCATATTAGGCTTTTATTACATAGGATGTAACCACCATCTAATAAAGATACAGGCATTTTGATAAAACCTACCCCACCAAAAAATTTTTTCCTCATTCTCCCAGCAGTTGCCCTAAAGTACACTGATCTGATTTCTAGTACTTTAAAGTAATTTTATCAATTTGGGAACTTCATTCAAATAAAATCATACAATACCTACACAGTCTATATGTTGTTTTTTTGGCCTAGGTTGTTTTATGAGTATGATATTCATAAGATTTGTTCATCTTGTGTGGTTCAGTGATCTGTTTATTTTATTATTGAGTAGAATTCCAATGTATACATAAACTATACTGTTGTCATTCTGTTTGCAAATATTTGTTTTTATCATCTGATTTTTAGCTATCATGAATAAACCTGCTATAATCATTAGCATAGAAGTCTTCATGTGGGCATACATTTTAATTTTCTTGGTAAACACCCAAGAATAGAATGCCACATTATATGGATCTACTGTTAACCTCACTAGAAGCTGTCACACTGTTTTCCAAAATGGTTTTATCATTTTACACGTTAACTAGCAAGCTATAAGAGTGCCATTTACTCTACATTCTTGCCAACAATTGGGGTTGTCCATCTTTAAAAATTTTACCCATTCTAGTGAGTGTGTAACAATATCTTACTGTAGTCTGAATATTATTTTGACATTTTTCATTGCTACACTATACATTCATACAATTTCTCTTCTCCTTTAATTGATTTTCCTGTTTGCTTTCTAAGACAGAATATAAATAGGAGTAAGAGGATCTAGTATAAATATTCTGGGTGAGTAAATTTACCT